CAAGACAGAAATTGAATAGAAAAATCAGAGAAAAATTGAAAATGACTGGAAATACAAAAGTATCACTATTTCATTGATTCTTTTCTTCATTTATTGGTTACAATTTAGTCTCTGAAGTAATTCCTGAATTGTTTGGGGGTTAAAATGGATTGAACTTGTGTTTGTGAAAGTTTGATTTGAAGTTGTTGAGGTCACGGTTCAATTGAAATTGTTTTCTGGACTACTGCACCTCACTCTTGGGTTTGGATTTGGTTTTACTGGGTATTCTTAGTTGCTGGGTTCTGCTACTCTGCTGCTTGGCTACTGACTTCCCCTTGCTTTCTTTCATTGCATATTCCAGGTACATGTTTCTAGACTCACCTCACATGAGGCTTGATATTGAAGTAAAATGGAATCTGGAGTGCTAAATATGGCTTCTACATATTCAGATCCTTTAGTTCAATTTTAGTCTTTTGGAGTTAATTGATGCATTGTATGTTCGATATGAGAACTCTTAGTCAGCTGCATCTGTTTGGAGTTAGTAGAGCCCTTGTAGTTAAATGTTGCTTTGAAATTCTTGCTAGTACAGCTGGTCTTGAACAGTTGAGAAATGGAACTTGATAAAATAGTGATCATTAGCTAAATAGCATATGGTGTTAGATCTCTTATGCCTTTGCAGCTCATTTGAATATTGAAGCCTAATGATATGTCCAGGATTTCATGTTACTATTTGATAGCTTAAGCTGTATGATATGAGTATTAGTTGAATGTTTTATTTTGAAAATCATTGCTGGTTTGAAATTGTCTAGGAATGATGATTTAAGGCAAGGAAAATGAGATTGAAGTGAAATAGTTGTTAGCATACGTGTGCTGAGAAATCATGTTAGTGTAGATTCGAATAATCTGCTTAGGAATTGTAATAACAGCCTAATTCGCATAATCATGTTTGTTTTTCGTGATTCTGTAATGGTCATTTGGAGTCCAATTTCCTTACTCGAATTGGGTTGACGAGGCTCCATCTAGACTCGATGCCGAGTCAGTCCGTAAGAAAACTTGGGCTCTCCCCAGGCCCAAGTCTAAGGGCCTTCCACGAACAGGTCCTTGTATATGCTAAGGCTTATGTTCTTTTTATTCGAACCAGCTCTTAATTAATGGTTGTATTGGCCCAAACCTTTTCATGTAATTAAAATACCTGCTGATCTCACTTGGGTTTATGACCATTAAAAGCAATTTGAGTCTTAATCTAGAATAGGCTCAAACATCTTAGGCCCGTTTGATTAAGTATTGTTTTCCTAATAAATCGAGGCGCGCCGTGCCAAACAAAAATGACAATTGCATGGCCCTCGTTTAATTAATTTTGTTTATCCTTAGAAATCGAGGCATGTCATTTAGCGAATTTTCATGGCCCTCGCAAAGTTACAAATTCGTAATTGCTTTAGGCGTGTTAGTTTAATAATTTACCTTCCTAAACTCGGGTGCGCATTTATGTGACCTAAATCCAAGTCTCAACAATGTTAAAATATGTCAAAGACCGCGGGTGCATTTATGTGACGTGGTCCAAGATAAGTTTTAATAGCGTTGCAATCTTCCTGAAAATAATTAAATAAAAACGGTTATAAAGTTAAGATTGAACCATAGGCTAAAACATGTATTAAAATCAGATAATAGGCCGATTTTAACAGTTGAGCGACTGTGCTAGAACCACGGAACTCGGGAATGCCTAACACCTTCTCCCGGGTTAACAGAATTCCTTACCTAGATTTCTGTGTTCGCAGACATAAACAGAGTCAAATATTTCCTCGATTCGGGATTCTAATCCGGTGACTTGGAACACCATAAATTATCCGAAGTGGTGACTCTGAATTTAATAAATAAATAATCTCATTTTGATTGCCACTTTAAGTTGGAAAAAATTCCCTCATACCCTTACGGGGGTGTAGGAAAAAGGAGGTGTGACACTAGCAACACTTTTGGTGAAAATAGTTAACCAGCTTTTGGATTTGTAATCGAAAAATAGCCAGCATTTGCAAAGTCAATAATTAATAGCCACTATTTTAGCTGAAAATACGGAAAATTGCAGCATAATATGTTGGATTATGAAGCTCATGCATATAATATTGGAACTCCAACACATTATGAAATTCCAACTGAAACACGGAAAGTTCCAGCATAATATACTAGATTATGGAGCTATTGCGTATAAACTTCCAGCATATTATGTTGGAACTCCAGCACATTATGAAATTCCGGCACATTATGTTGGAATCCCATATGTAAAAAATTCAAACTCTAGCATATGATGAAGGAATTTTTCGAATTTTTAAGAGTGTTTTTATTCAGATTATATCTTTATATGAAAAAGTGGCTAAATATCGATTACTTTTGAAATTGTAGCTATTTTTTAATTACCAGTTATAAATCAAGCTATTTCTTATTTTACCCATGTTAGAAACCATAATAGATCCTTAAAACAAAAGTTCCCTGTGATTAATTCAAGGAAGTTTTACCTCCTATAGCAAAGGTTAACACTTTATTTATTTTAAATAAATACCATTTAAAAAAATTATATTCTATAGATACCTTTTAATGTTTATAGCAAAATATCTAATTTTGGTTACCTCCTAACCCTAAATCACTAAATACGCTATTCAGTTACACTATTTTCTTTCTCTCTCTACTTTGATACATGCCATTCTCTTCCCCAATTCCCTAAAAATACGCTGCTCAATCTCAAAATTCCTCTCACCCATATCACCTATGTTCTCTCCGATCCCAATTACTATTTAGAGTGGTTAATGATTAAATTTTTCCTTCTCCAGTTCATGCCGATGCACTACTTAAGGGTACAAATGTAGAGGTGTCGACGTTTGTGACTCCCGAAATAATAATGCTGTTGCTGAGCATATTTCCTTCAGGGAACTGGTATCCGAAGGTGCTTCCCCATTGGATATGATGGCTATTACATTATGCGAGGAGAATGCAATACCTGGTCTGTATTTTTTATGTTGCCGAAAATTAGGCTTTGTTCTCTTCCATCCAATCTCAAAGTTTGGTGGATCCTGCTTCACAAGCCCAGTTCTTGCTTTTCTATCCCGAATTATCTCTGACTTTCTTCGTTTCTCTATTGGGAATTTTTCTAGGCTGATTGTTGTTTCTGAAGTTGGCGTGGGACTGAGGAAATTGGGGTCTGAAGAGTCGGGTGTGGGATTGTATTTTCATGTATATCATTGTATTCATTGTCTTTTTTCATTGTATTTCAATGTATCTCGTTGTATTCCATGTATTTCATTGTATTCACTGTCTCATTGTATTCCATGAATGTATTCATATATATTTTTAATTAATATAATTTATGTATTCAGATATATTATATAATTTCTCTGAAGATTGCTATGTTTTTGGGGTGTTTTTCGGTTGAGAATCTTTTTATAACTGGAAATACAAATTTGTGTGTTATAATTGAGTTTGTTGAGTTATATTAGGAGTCTATTATGTTAATTGATTCACTTTCCATTTAAAAACAGTGTAATCCCCTGTTTCACGCCGTGATTACAGTCGAATACAATAATCTTTCCAGCTGTAGTCCCATGTTTCACGCCATGAATACAGTCGAATACACTCGAATACAACAACTGATTAACTGGACTTCCCTGATTCACGCCTATTTTTGCTTTTGTATTCATGAATATATTAGCTTAAATACATCTAATACATCTTATAACAACATAAAACTTATCTACAATCCATAATATAGCAAATGATATCTATAGATAGCTAATTACCGCTAAAATATAGTGCTTTATGGAAATTTCTCTTAATTCAAATAGACATGTTAAGTTAAGGGTTAAGGTGGGCTTATCCCATACTTGAACTGCTTTCCAAAGAAGGCCTAGCGGGTTATATCGCGGGTCGAATATGGGTTGCAGCCCACGCACTATAACACTGTGCTATTATTCTCTGTTGTATCTCTACTAGTCGACTCTTTCCAGTTCTTTGGCGCTTCTCCGCTAATTCAAGAGCCATTCCTCATAAGTAATAAGTACTCTGTCTTCACTTATGTCTTTGTACAATTAGAGTTATATGATAAAGGAAGTATTTTTGTTCTCGAATACACTATGTAAAACAAATTGAATTCAATAGCAACAGCCGGAGTCAAGCCTAACGGCATTTAGTTCTCTTTACCTGCTGACCAATCAAGTGGGCAACTCCGAATTCAGTGTCACTCACTTAGGAATAAGGATACTTTTTGGTTTGATATTTTGCTCACAAAACATAATTAATGTAATATCGTCAGCCAAGTAGGTTCTTTTCTCATATACTATGTGCAGTGCTAATGACAATGTTCAGAATCTAGATTTGCAACTTCATTATAGAATACCAAGTAGAATCACATTGTTCTAGCTGGTAATTTGATCCATTCTATCCTGACATTGCTTCCTAATGTTTATAATATGACTTCACAATTGGTTCTTTACTGTCAATGCATACATCTGTCACTATAAATATTAGGGTTGTTCAAAACTGAACTGTCGTCGATAATCCAACCGCAAAATAGTTTTATTGGTTCATTGGTATTGGCTTAACGGTTGGAAACTGTTTGAAATTAACAGTTTATTGGTGTGGGTAGCAGTTTGCTCATTTTTCTCATCGGTTTAACCGTTAACACATTAGGGGTCGTTTGGTATGATGTATAAGAAGATATAAGGGTGATATAAAAATTCAATACCACCTTAATACTCTATTTGGTTAGCAAACCAGGTATAAGTTATCCCGATATTAATTTTAACACCGAGATAACTTATACCTTATAGAAGGTGAGGTAATTAGCACCGGTATAACTTACAACTTCTTCTTAGAAATTATGCAGTTGTCATTCTTAATACAATATGTAAAACAATGAATAAACAACAATCTCATCATAACTTATCACAATATAACTTATACCGGTATAAATCATATTACTGCCAAACCACCCCTAAGAATTACATTTCTACCGTCATGTATATAAAAGTATCTTAAAAAACCCTAAAGCACCAATTCGACCTTAGCTTAAATCCTTGGGTCAGCTCCATTGCTCCAAACCTCCAACCTCCAGTCCACTATCCACAGACGCTCTCCAATCTCCATTCCAGTTTCCAGTATGAGATAAGTTTCTTTGTCCACGATTAACCAAGGCGACATATTGAGAAAAATCTCCTTTTCTTTTGTTCCGTTGAGCTCAACTTCCTGAGAATATATCTCTCTGTATTTTGATTCTAAAACAAGGGAAGATTCGCTATTGATTAAAAAGATAATCAGCGATGCGCAGCCATTAGCCAACCAGGGCACAGGTTCTTAGCTTTTCTTCTCTAGTTTGGTTTTTTAATCTTGGATACTATAAACCAGAACCTAAAGCTTAATTTAAACCTCCTTATAAAAGAAAGCTAATCAATCTAAAGCTTAATTTAAACCTCCTTATAAAAGAAACTTAATCAATTTAAAGTTTGAATGTGATTTGCTATATCATTCAATCCAAAATAAGATTCCAATTAGTTTCCTCCTTTTCAAATATTTGGTTGATGGAATATATATATTGTGTACATTATGTGACAGATAACCGTCGGATAACCGCTAAAGTTTAGGACATTAAAAAAATGGATAACTAATAAGCCGAACCGTTGAGCGCAAATATCCATTTGAACCACCCGATAAGCACCCCTAACTATAACGGTATGTAATCCAATAACCACATACATCTTTATTCACGTATTGTGGGTTCTTTGTTTGGCTGATGTTAAAGTTCTGTATTCTGCTGTCTATAGAAGTTTCTTCATTAATAATAGGTAGATAGTTTCAATAGTTTCTGTATTCTTGTGTTTTAGAATTTCCCAAGCAGGAGTCTTGAATATCTCATACAAAACGTATATTTTCTTCGATCATGTAGGCATATGTCATTTGCTGTTCACTGTTGGTGTATTTCTTTCGTTCTTCTTCTGCTTCTTCTAAATAGTATGTTTTTCTTCTAATTCTTATTCCAAAATAAGTCTTTCATGTTATGTTTTTGTTTTAACAACTAAATTATTTTCCTTTAAAAAACTTTAGAGCTTTAAACTGCAAGCAATTTTCCTATGTATTACTAGTATGATGATATCTCAACAAGCAACTTTCTTCACCTATTAGTCTCTCTTTTCCCTTTCTTTGTATGTTAATTATCTTTACAAGTTTGGCAACTGTTTTCCATCCACAAGTGATAATTCATTAACTTCACCTTTTTCCCTCACTTTGCTGTTGTTTGAAAAAGTAATTTGTAATATCGTTTTCAGTAGAAATGAAAGAAAATTCATTATTATTGCCTCTAGGCAGGTTTTTGGTAGTAAAAGTAATTTAGTGTGATCATAGTTCTCACCCCAAAGTATTTTGGTACAATTTAAATTTACATAAACAAAAATGGACAGGTTGTCATGGTGACAGAGGACTAGTTAAAGTATTCGAGCCCTAGCAATTAGCAGAGAGAAGATCTAAACCAGGGGAAGGATGTCAAAGTCTCTCAAAGTTCTCATTGAGGACCTGCTTCTGTAAGACCATTTCTTTCTCTCTTCATTCTATCATTTTTGACCTGTGTTCTGTGTGAATAATTTGATTAAGTTCCGCTGTGTCCTTTAAAAACTGTAATAGATTATCAGAGCCAATAAGAGAATCACTCTCCAAGGCATGCTATACTCCTCCAGAGGGTTCCAATATCTCTGTCAAATCCATGCTAGTGTCCCTTCTACCTTATAGCAACTCGCTTTCCAACTCAGAACTCTCGGAAACTGAAATACACAGCAAAATAGCGGATTTTAGCTTATGTTGTGCTGCATTGGCTTCTACCTCAGAATCCACTCACAATCAGCTCTCTTGGGTTCCCAATTTGCTATCTATAGCTGCAGCCTCTGCTTTCAAAGACCTATCTATAGCTTACGCTAGAAAAGTTGGTGGGAATGAGTTAATGAAAATTGGCGAGCTGGATGGGGATTTGAAGTCTCTGCCAAATGAGAAGAAGTTGGCCATACAGTTAATGCCTCAACTGTTGCCTTTGCTAAAAGACAAGATTAAGGAGAGCACGATAGATAAATCAATTGATGGTGATGAGATATCAGCTGCAAGCGCTAGAGTTCCAGTGGCATACGCCATTGTTGCAGCTTATCAGTTTAGATGGTTCATTTCTCAGGTGTGTCTATCCTAAATTGGTAGTTGAAGACTTATTAATATATTTATTTCTTTGAACTTGTTTTGGTTTGTGGTTAGAATTCTTTTGGGATGAAGCATAATGTTCTAGATTTATTGTTTGTAGGTGGATTATCCTCACCTAGGAAAAGTGTGCTCTTTGGTGATTCCATGTGCCTTAACAGCTCTTGATCACTGGTCATCTGAAGTAAAGGTGGGTTCTTCTTTTTATGATTGCTGGTCTTACAAATTTGTTGCTGCTTCAATCAGATGGGTAATCTACTTGTTGATCTTTTTTAAAACTAAGCTAATATTCCTATATCACTGTAGAACAGTTAAACCCTCTAGTAAATACTGTAAATGATTGATTCTTGCAGTGGTCTGTTTATACTGTAAAATAATTGGATAATGAGATATTCTATGTGGAAATTTTGCTTTTCTAGAATTCCTATATCACTGTCTTTTCCTTGAAATACATTGTGGACTTGTGGTGAAATACATTGTGAACTGTTAGAAGGGATACACTCTTTAAAACGATTGATAGCCAGCTAGTACTAAGCTTTTATGCGCCTCTGAGATTTGGTTTATGTCTGACCCCTATAACAACTGATGACAACAAAAAGAACATCAATTGAATCAGGTATTCAGTTTCTCTTCCAAAGCTTGTTCTTAGATGCTCTATTAGAGCCTTCTGATTGTAATAATGTTGGTAGAACCTCTCTCTTTTTGTCTTGCCTTCTTAGTCTTTTCTTTATTTTGGAGCATGATGTAATCCATCTTCAAGATAAGATGGGATTTCTAATTGTTACAGGCAAGTGGAATTGTCTGCCATACATTTGCATCTCAGACCTAATATTACTTTTTTTGTTTTCATTAGGCTGTTGACAAATTTTTGTTCTCTCACTTCAGGGACAGGGCATGGTTAGCTTAATACATCTGGCAAAAAATGTCAATGCTGCTGAGATTGGTTGCTATGAAGATGTAATTCTTGATGCTTGTTGCCAAAATATTGCTTCCGATGATGACATATGGGAGCGTGTGGTTCAAATGTCTGTACTTATGGTTACTTTCACCCAGAAAAGTAATCCTCGAAGCATATGGTAGAGCGCCCTCTATCTGTTATATATTGAATCCTGGTTAGATTTTGCCAACATGTACACATGAATCATGATTAAGAATGGTATTCTACTCATAAATTTGCGGAGAAAGTGTTATCAGTGAAATGCTAAAGCATTATCCTTCTTTTACTGTTGATTCACTCAGAAGTATATTCATATTATGTGTTCTTCAATTTGTACTTCCAGTTTAATAAAAGACTCTACCTATCAAAAAAAAAATCTTGGATGGAGGGACTATGCGAGTCGAAATGGGAAATTGTAAATCCTGATATTTTGTACGTTCTCTAGTACCTTCTTGGTACTGTTCTCGATAATATTACCTTTCCTTATCCAAAAAACAAAAAAAGGTATTTGTACCTTTGTGTACTGATATATTTTACATGTCCTTTGAGCATTAGCATTTCCAATATTTTATGCTTCAAGTATGTACTTACCTTTCAATTATGTTGTGGCACAGGTATGAAAAAATGTTGAATGAGATGTTGAGCCACTTGGAAAGGCAACCAAGAAACAAGGAGCGTTGTATTGGATGGCTACAGCATATTGAGCCACTGTTCAATTGTCTTGGTCTTGTGCTGCTAGCTCATTTCAGGCGTCTTTTTCCCCTTTTCTTCAAGTGGATGCATGCGGATGATGACAGAACTGTTCTACTGGTAAGAGGTGATAAAATTCTTTTAAACCTTTTTGTATCCTGAATAATTTTTCTGAATTCCTTTTCTAGTGGTTTCCGTTTCTGTAGTCTGATTAAGTTTTATTTAGTGGTGTCAACGGACTTCTTGTAAAAATATATAAGAGTTAAGCTTCTTTTGCATTTCAAAACTTTTTTTTACAAGATGTGTTGTGTTAGAGATCATTACTAGCAACAATTTGGTACTTCATTTTTATTTCAGGTTCTAGAACGGATCAAAACAGTTGTAAAGTTGACATGGATAAGGAATTCGCCACACATTGAAAGGTAAATTTACGAATGGACAAGGAAAACTGGAAAAGTAGGATTCACCCTGAATATTACTTATGTCTCCTTTGAATATGAAGAATGGAGTACCCCAAAAGTTATCCAATATACTGTTTCGTACTGAATTCCAGTTTTGCATCTAAACTGATGACCTCTTTTTTCAATACTTAAAACCATCTTACTGACTATGGATTAACATCCCTAACTTTAATACTAAGGTAGAACCTTCCTATATGTTCTTGTCGCACTTCTTTAAATTGTACCTATTGGTGTGATGCAGATTGGTGGATGAGCTTGTTAGTTTATACAAGGAGGCAGCGCTGAAAATTGCTCGTGTAGAAATCAGAAAACTTGTTCTTCAGACACTAATTTTGATCCATCAGTAAATATCATGCTCCATGCCTTTGTTTTCTCCTACTGCATGTGATATGAGTTATTTGCTTCTGTTGTAGTTTTTCTCTGCTTCATGAGTTCTCCATTTTCTTAATATCTTTTCTCCTCAATGTCCAGATCCAAGGGCTCGCAGTTCAAAGCTGCTTGGGACAAGCACAAGGATGATCCTGACTTGACAGTTTTCCATCATTCCTTTAGTGAACAACAGCTTGCAATGGTAAATCTTTCCCTCTGTACTATCATGAGAAAAGCGAGCATAATCTCGATCAAACACTCAAGATGATTTTTTGCACTTGTGTTAGGTGGCAGCATCAGCTATCTTAGCCAGTTTTGTGCTGCAAAATGAGCCTGTGCTTCTGCTTTTTCATAATAATTTGCCAATGATGCTATGATCTATTAAATCAATATTCAGGTTCTATGTGATGGCTGGTTTTTAAATACTCCCTCTATCCCAACTTATGAAAAGTCATTTGATAGTGTAGATGTTGCCTTGATCACGTATTAATTAGTCGTGATAATTAAAATGTTAGTTTGATGAGAAGAGGTGAAACTTAAACAATTTGAACTTTTGAAACTATAAAAGATGTTTTAAATGATTTTATTAGTCAGATAACGCCAAATGTTTTGGAACATTGAAAACAGAACGCAAGTCATATAAATTGGGGATAGCGTGTAATACTTGTGGCTTCTTGATACAATGGTGTGCGGAAAGTTTCTGCAGTTAATGATATAAAGATGGGAATTTTTGTATTCTGTCTATATGTTGCTTGCGGGGAGCTGTTAATGGTTAGTGGCTTGCTGGACTTGAATACATACTTGGCCTTTTGAGTTGCTGAGGAGACATTTTGGAGAAGTATACATTTAGTTCTTGCATCAGTTTCGTGCTCTACATAACTTGTTACTACTCCCCCGTTAGCTCTTCATTCCTACATAGAGTGGAGGGAAATGGAGAATTGTTTTTCACTTCACAAATGGGCAGAAACAATTGTCTGTTGGGGGTCGCAATTGCCATTCTATGCATTTACAGGTCGTTCAATGATGAGCTTGTTATGCTTTTCAACTATCCATCAGACAAAGGGATTGAAAGTGATTGGCATCCATGTAAATAGTTAGTTGTCTATGTTCAAGTTTAGTTGTCTATCGGCACATACTTTCAAGTTTTAGTTATGTAGTCACAATTCAGTAATTCATATTGAGATGTATTTATTGTGATTTTTCATGTACTTTAAGCTTATTTTGCTGTAATGTACAGTAAATATTCTATCTTATCATGCAATTTCAACTGTGGCTACAATGTTCACTATTGTGAAAATTAAAAATCTTACAACTTCAGTAATCATGAAGGGATCAATTTCAATGTAAACCAATTATCATGAAAGACAAAGCTGAAAAGGCATTAAATCATATCACAAAAAAACCCTTAGTAAACCAACAAAGATCTGAAATGCAAGGAGAAGCAACTGCAATCTTGGCGTATACAAGTATCCTTGATATGTATACAACCCATCAGAATATAAGCAAGAATCATAGATTTTGTTCAAGAAGGAAAATTATATTTCTTACAGTTCAGTTTCCCTCCTTATGTAATCTATTATTAACATCAAGAAACTAAGCAAGACTTCTTCCACTACTATTCAGGAGAGCGATGAAGCTAGAACAAGCATAGAAAGAAGCCACAGAAGATGAATCGAGGGAACAAGTACACCAAGCTTTCTCGAGTTCCGATCAGCACTGTCAAAATTGATGTTGTACTTCATGCTCATGTTGGTGTACATCACTCCCCAGTACTGCCCTGTAATTTCACCTTGAGCACTACTCAAATTGCTCTGCTGCTTCGTTTCACTTTCATCAAACAACTGGAAAATGTAAGCCTCAGAAATTCCTTCCTTTCTGAGCGGAGTTCCAAGTCCAGATTTCAAATGCGAAACCAGCCCCTGTAAATACATCTCCGCGTACAGCTGGCTCTCCTCTGCATTCCTTACACCATTATTCACGTGCTCATAGTTGCTTCCATCGCTTGGCCACCCTGTTTCCGTCACAATTAACGGAACATTCTCGTAACCGCTAACCGCCATGGCAGCAATCACGGCATCAACCATCATATCAAACAGGTTATGATAACGAACGGCCGTAACAACGTCATCACGGAAGTTGAACGGGCCTTCCTGAAACAGAGCGAAACCGACTGGAATCTCTCCGTGGAGTCTATAAACATTGTACGGATACACATTCACCAGGAGAGACGAGTTAGTTTCCTCCAAAAACTGAAGCACAGGCCTGATGATTAGCGAGCTGACCGGCTCCTGGAACTCGGCGGAGGATGGAGGAAACGCCGTCGTAATCACGTTGATGAAGGAGAAAGTAGTGGAAACTGAGACGGTGCGAATTCCGAGGTCGTTCAGTGCGCGGTGCAGGTTCCGCATGGCGGGGACTACGGCGACCGAAGGGTCGGAACCGCCGGAAGTAGGGGAAGTGATGACGTCGGAACCGACGGAGATGAGCGAAATACGAGCACGAGGATGATACGGAAGCACATTGTTGTAAACCCAGAGAGTAGCGGCGGAACGATTGGAAGCAAAGGAGCCGATGAGGTAATTGGGGACGGTGAGGAGAAGAGAAATGTTGGAGTAAGAAAATGCTCGGATTAAACTAGGGCTGGGATTAAGGAGTCGTACGGCTGGGATTTTGAGTGACTGAAGGGCGGTGACGACGTGCTCCGGCGGTGGAGATTTGGGGGCGGGGGAGTAGGTGAAGCCGACAGTGGTGGTTGGTACGGCGGCAGAAGGGGAGAGTAAGAGAGAAAGAATGAAGAGAGAGAGAAGCGGAGTTTTGAAGGAGGGAAGCATTTTGAAAACGTGAGGATTTGGAGTGAAATTTTTGCTTACTTTATTCATTCAGCTAATTGCAAGAGTGGAGAATTGGAGGGAAAGAGAGAAGGCGCGTAGGGTACGCATTAGCGCACGTTAGCAATAGTTGGTTCAATTCGTTGCAGGGTACTCCGGCGGTTACAAGAGAGAGGAGAAAATGATTTGATGGTTGAAGCTGTAGGAAAAGCTGTCGAAAGTGGTGCACCTGCATCTTTACCAGTTTAACCAAAAAATGGTTTTGTAAATAAGAATTACTGTATTACATTTTTAAACCGTCTAAAAAGGCACAAATAACTGTTCCGGTTGAACTTATTTGACATGAGGGAAAAGTTTAATATGGTGACAAAGGGAACTAAAAGATCCCCTTTAGCTTCTAAGTTCAAATCCCAGATGTGATATTATGCCTATTATTCTAACTAGTATTAGTATCCGTACGGATGCGCAAACACTAATCATGTCAGATATTTAAGTTATTTGGATTGTATGTAAATAATAATCTTAAAATTTGCACTTTCTCAGTAAATATAAATAATCATTGGATATTAACTAAATGAAAAAATTAACAATTTCTTCTATTTTTCCTTTTTTATACCATTCTTGCCGGTGTCATTGGATCCTTAAAATAGTCAGGAAGCAAAATAATAACTCATATTTATGGTAAAATAATCAAATGTTGAGACAATGAATGACTCTTTGGATAAGACTTAACTCTTTTACTACTACTTGAACTCTTATTTGGTGTGTTGATATCTCTTAAAAAATATTTCTTTTTTAAAATTTCAGCTTCTAAAGCATTATTTTTCAATAATAATTATTTTTATAATAATGTAATTGAAAATATTATTCTTAATTCAAAACTCATTTTAGTTGGCTATTTAAAAATATAAAAAATTCTTTAGCTAGTGAATTTTTTTTTACTCTATTTTGATATTTGACATTAACCATGTTAAATATCTGATTATTTGAATTATATGTAAACAACCTTAACATTTAAACCTTCTAAATAATTATAGATAATTGTCAGATATTAATTAAGAAAGACTACATGAAAAAAGACTAACATTTTCTCAATTCTCATAGTGATAATTTTATTTTTGCACTATTGTCATAGGTGTCATTGGAACCTAAAAATAGTCACAAAGTAAATAATAGCTCATATTTATGGCAAAGCACAAAAGTTGACACGATATAAACGATTCTTTGATTATGACGTANTATTTCAGTATGACTCCACTTTAAGTTTATCGATATCTCTAGCCCCAGAATTTGAATTTTTAATTTCCTATATGTACAAAAAATTTGTTCTTTGAATCATTAAATGTTAAATTAGTTGATTATTGTTATAAAATATTGCATATATTGTCTTAAAATTGTCAAGTAGTTTATTTTTCGACACCATACTTGGCTTAACCTCAATGTAAACTACTCAAATTGCATTCCAATTCAAATTCAAAAATCATATCAGTTTTTTAGTAATAGTGATTTTTAAAAAATGACACATAATGTAAATTAAAAAAAATATTCTAAGATATCATTATCTTATAATCTATGTATTTGAGTTGAAAAAAAATATATTTGAAATCGATGAGATTAACTTTCAAATTTTTTATACTCAACAAAGATGAAACATAAGAAGAAATTTATTGTCATCTTTTATTTCTGGTTTTTAGATTTTTCTAACATTTTTTTCAAAATTTATTTTCTTTTATCTTATTTTTAATGTCGTTATTTCTTTTGTTACAAAAAAATTAATTTATTTCATTATAAAGGGATGAGTTTTAATAAAAATTGTCTACATATGAATTTTAATTATATTTTTAGTCTTTTCTTGAAATTATTTCATATTTTTCTTTTGGCTTTATCTAATAAGCCTAAATAGGTGTTCACTCGACCACTTAAATTAAAATATTGAATGATATATAATTTATATATAATCCATATATAATATGTGTATAATCATGTGTTGTCGGTATATCATTTATTTATATTAGCTATAAAAAGTAAACAATAAATATGGGTGGATATTATGTAAATATTCCATAAGATTTCGATTTTTTGAGTTTATCCATGATATAACTTCTATTACCACTAATGTTCAAAAATATCTTATCTTTTTATTATCTTTGAATTAAAAAAAAGTAAAGAGTTTTTTCGAAATAATTTGTTTACATTTTAAAAAAATATTTCACATCATACCAATTTTTTCTTTATATATACTCAATGTTACACTTAAAAGTCGCTATAGAAACTATTAATTAGAAACCAATTTCTCTCTTGTTGAGTTTGAAAAAAAAACTTTCACGTAATCTAATGATTCAAAACTAATATTCTTCAACGAAAAAAATATTATACCCTTGCAATATTGGCTTGACTACAGCTAAATGAAAGGGTTTCAGCTTATATCCTTCAATTTCTTGAATGTCCTAAATTGAAATTAATGAAAGCAATGCATAGCCAAAGTTTTGTTATTTGTTTGATGTCCATTTATGCAAATTGACTCTTCAAACAAATATTCTCCAAGAAGAAAAAAGAAACAACTTTTTTTTTAATACTAACTGATTTTGTGATGTTTCTTTCTCCAACATGTATGTTTACTTTATTATATATGTAAGTAAACTTTTATTTTATTTTGTAAACTCTTTTTTTGTTATTTAGATAAACATAGATGTGTATCCAATATATTACATTTATTTTAAAAGAATTTCATTTTATTCAAATCTTGTTACAGTGTTTCAAAGAATTATACTTATATGATTTTAAATGTGAAAGAGTTTTATAGTTATATGGAGTAGTTTTTTTTGCTAGAGGTGAAATAGTATTTAAATAATTAAAAAAAATAACAAAAGTTCCTAACATGATTGCATATGATCATTGACCGAATTAAGTATGATAACATGATAAAAAAAGATAAATTTTATTTTTAATTTAAATTCAAATTTTAGAACTTTATCTATAAATTCAAAATTATCTTTTAATTCAAATTCCGTATATATATATTTGTATTTAACTTAAATAGTCAAATATAGAATAAAGCACCATATACTATTGATATTTATTAACTTGCTACTTAGCTTAACCATAATGTCAATTATATATGGCAACTTTCTTGCTTTAACTAAAATAGTCAATAAAGTTATCATATTTTTTCTATTATATAGAAAAGAGAAGTGCAGGTCGACCAACGACAAAAGAGATATTTACTCAAATATACAAGGGTAAAATGGTGATATCATGTGTTGATATCATAAAAGATTTTTGATATACGTGGTCACGCATGCTTAGTCAAGCAGCCTTGTTTCTCGCGGATACAGTCAAACGTAACTCTAGAAGCATCTTCTTTCATCTCTCCGACATGCTTCATCAAGTTTTTATACCGTTCCTTCCTTCAGACTGAAAGAGTCCCCTTTATCTTCTCGGTTGGTTGTCGCCATTTTAGGTATGTTAATTTCAAATGTTTCGCGCCTAAATTTTCTCCCAGTTTTATCTTCTGCCAACTCTCTCTTTAATATTCTTCTGCTTTATATTTCTTCTTTATGTTTCTCTTTTGCATTTACTCTATTTCTTTTCATGATGTTTACTTTCAGACTTTCCTAGACTGCATAGTTGTTTTCATTTTGTTAGTTGAATGCTACAATTCTAGGTCTGCTTTCTGAAAATACCAAATCGAAATTTATCAGAACTGTATTTCCCTCCTATCTTTATGTCTTTCTTTCAATTTCATCTAGCTAGAAGCTTCTTTGTTTATCTTTTTTGTTCTATTAAGTATTTTTGGTTGCAGTGTAGCTACTGTAAATAGTATAGTTTGGCTGAGGCAGAAGAGTGTCTAAAGTGATTAAAGACCGTAATCGATTACATATTAGTGCTTCTCCAATTTTGAGGCTTGTTCGAGTTTCTTTTGAAGCATGACATGGCATGAGAGAATTCTTTCATGGAAATATTTGACCTCTTATTAAATAATAGATCTTGATCCTTTTTTTTTATGTAGTTTAAACTTACACTTAGATATACAAATGTATATCTTAGTCGTGCTTGGTCTTGTTGTTTTGTTTATTTTCAAAATAGTAAAGAGATCACATGTCAAAAGATTGAACAAAAATAGAAGCAGCTTATAGTCACCAGAATAAGAAACTTGAAGTGATCTAAATGAAGTGAGACTCTTTATGGTTGGTGGATGCAATGAATGATCTATCTTGGATTTTTCTTTACGGCTACATATAAGAAGATAGATCCAAATATATTTCTAAGCCATTTCATGGTCAAGATTTTGCTTGATTTTGTTTATAGACGAGAACCTTGAATCTTATTAATCAAAAAACATATGAGTTGCATTGGCAGAGCATAAATAAAAAGGGAGAAAAAAATGAGAGCTATATATTGTGACAGTACTTTTGCCTGTATTTGAAAGTTAATTTTGGTAAAACCTTATTCATTTTGGCATGTGATTAACAAGTCTCAGTGGTTTAGTCATCCAAGTACAACTTTAGTTTCGATTCTAATTTTATTGTAGTCAAGAAATTAGTAGAGCAGTTTAAGGATATATATAACTATCATTTGTTCTTCTTTTAGATGATTTGCCCCTATATTTATGTCCTCTCATGTTATTCACTTCTTAGAAATAGCACAATCAGAATTCAAGGAAAATAAAAGATGAATTCTTGTGGAAAGCTTCTGTTGATTGCTTTTACTTTTTCTTTTTCCAGTTTCTCGTGCATCTTATAGGTAGTATTGTTAATTTTGCTGAGGCAAAGCAATGACCCAAACTTTTACTGATGTTTGCATCACGATAGGCTGTCTACAACTCATCCCTTATGGTGCAATCTTTTCCAGATTTTACATGAACGTGGGTTGCTTTGTGTACCGGATTGCCCTTTTTCTTAGCATTCTATATCTAATCATAGCTATAGAGCACTGGTATATTTTCTTTTCATGCATATTTTATGGTATTACATAATGAATTCCCCACTGAATAGCACTTTTTACTTTGTAACTAGTTGAGGTGAATTGCTATTTGGGATATCACTCACTTCATTTATAAAAATAATGCGTTGTTTATCTTTGGGAGATGTCTACCAGTATTTAGTCTTTTTAATTCTTATCTTAGCAAACTGCTAATTTTTTTGTGTCTCTTAAATAGCTACATCAAGATTCACAGATGATACAAGTTAATTATGGCCAGAACAAACTAATAAAGATGCTATGATGAAACTTTTCGTTAACAAGAAAATCAATATGAAAGTAGAATGAGAAGCTTGACGATTTTAGCATCCCTAATTCAGAAGATAAAGTGAAGAGAGCACAGCTCATACAAAGTGGAAGGAGTGACCTTAATAGAGGCAAAGTATTCAAACTTTGATGATGATCTGAAGCTATCTTTAAGGTCAATTATTTGTTGGAAAATGAAAATTTTCACTTAGCCTGAATGTGCCTCTGAACGACTTTATGTTTAACTTTTCAGGATCGGGTGAATGCTTTTATGAAATAAGTGGAGGAAATATTAAACGATATTTCTTGAGATGTTTCTGAATTCTAATAAACATGAACTTAAAAGGAAAAGCGACCAACTTCTAGCAAATGTATTGAGAAAGCTGATTAATACAAATGGCTAATAAAAAAACATTATTAGAGTATTTCCTTGTTAACTTAAAGCACACATAAATGGAGGAAACAATGGACAAATATTAATTTGAGAGGTTTACGATGAACATGAATTTGAAAGGAAAAAAGATCAGCTTCTAGCAAATGTATTGAGAAAGCTGATGAATACAAATGGCTAATGAAAAAGCATTGAAAGAGTTCTTCCTTCTTAAAATCACACATGTCGTTTATCTCCACTAAGGAAGTGGTGTTAATTCCATGTAATCATCTCAAACTTGTAATATAAAGTTCAAGACATGTTCTGAATATAGATATCTTCAAGGGTGGTGCATATTCTTATAAAAGATAAGCTTATAGGCATTCGGGGAACTAAAGTCTTTGTATGGTTTAAGGTCAGATATATTTTTGAAAATAACCTGGATGTATATTTTTTTTTTAAACCAAGTTCATGGCTAGCACATCCATGTTAGGTATGTTAATCTGTATGTATGTATATATATATAAAGTCGTTCAGAGGCACATTCAGGCTAAGTGAAAATTTTCATTTCCCAACAAATAATTGACCTTAAAGATAGCTTCATATCATCATCAAAGTTTGAATACTTTGCCTCTATTTAGGTCACTCCTTCCACTTTGTATGNATTTTGTTGGACATCTTTGTTAATGTAATTGGAGAAGGGAAAGAAGACTTTTCACTGCTTGAATACTCCGATGCCGAATTTCTTTTGAAAACATAGTCATCTTATTGTGTCACTTAGTATTGTTTAAGAATTTAAATTGTGTTTCAACTAATGCAATGTAAATTTTGCAAGCAAATCTCAGTAGTTGGGCCGGCCAACATTCATCTAGTACTATTGACATTTATTAGCTTGTCACTTGACTTAACCATAATATCAATTATATATGGCTAACTTTCTTGCTTTAATTTATATATAAGTATAGATTTTTGTAAAACGAGTTATCAACTACAGGAAACCTTCTAGTTTTCTTATGTCTTATTTTTAGTCGCAATATGAACCCATGCACAACTCACTTATTTCCATTCTTCCATAATCCATGTACTTCCTACACGTTAAATCATTCGATTCCTTAATTTGTATTTGTTCTGTTTTTAAAGCTACACTTTGCTGACAAACTAATTAAACACCTCATTAACAGAAATCAGTGGCGAAACAGGACATCCTAATCGGCATTGGAAGAAACACAAGATAGACCATCTTTGTAAATAAAAATTTAAAATCAAGAGTGCCATCATAGTTCAACTTTCACAGGTGCAAACTAAATTATAGAACTGAAGAGTGCATTCAATGTTTAGATACAGTAAAAACGTACGTAGAGCAAACTTCACTTTTTAGCACAAAATATATTCCCGAAGAAGGAATACATGGAAGTATTCTCTAGCTTGAAGAAGCTTAGTGTAAGAATTCCATCGATAAAGCCGCAATCAACTTGTTGTTTGATATTCCATTCGTGGATCAATCTGAATTCATTGCAAATATAATAAATACAGACAATGAATTATAAATAGATGAAGAAAAGTTCTAAATCGCTGTTTCAACAAAAATGGCAAGTCACTATGAGCAAATTAGCAATAAAATATACTACAAATTACAAAAATAAAAAAATAAAAATTTGAAGAGTAGAATAAATGTAGCTTAAGGCTAGGACCATCAAGATCCAACCAAGACAAATCAACAATTCCCCCCTTATGCAAGCTGCAAGCCAAATTCCATATGATATGTAGTTGAGACATGGTTCTTCTAAGTATCTCCTAAGAAAATTTTCATCGGCAGAGTTTACTTCAATACATCTCTGCTTTCAGGGTAATGCTCCGTTTGAAAATTAAAAATACGGTTTGGAAGCTTGAAAACACGTCTTCCTAAAGATGGGCCGGTTAAAGCATCCATCTGGCTGCTAACCACAGCAACAATCCGGAATCCTTCCTTTTGCAGTATACTTCTTCGAAGGGAAAAATATTCAGGTAGGTCCATTTGCAGTTCATTATCAGTTCTGCAATAGCATTACCATCCATGAAAAATCAATAAAATAAGGAGCAAACTTAATTTAGTGAAAATTGCAAAAACAGAGGAGCAAAAACTTAATGCCACCAAGATACACACAGGTGCTCAGCTACATTGATCAATGATTAGCCAATTAAGCCTGAAAGAACTTTTTATCTGAATTTCCTTCGAGCAAAATGGGAATGCTACGTTCACTGTCTTTGCACATGGAGAGCCGCGATTGCAAGTGAACATCGTTGCATTCATTAAAATCTGGTCTAAGGAGACCCTTTTTTTTGTTGACAAATTGGATTAATCTCTAAAGAGATGGAAACAAATTTCTGATTAAAAATTAAATCAAATTATTCACATCTGAAGCTCCACTAATTAGTAGAAAATAAGAGAAGATAGAAAGAGAAACTTAATCTGCATCATCATACTTATGACAATTTTAACACCTTATTAATTGACTTTTAGCATCCCATTAGACCTAAAGAATGATTATAAAAATACAGTATTACACCCAAAACGTAATATGTGAGGAAGATTTTTCGATTTAAATAAAATCTGCTAAAAGATATTCATCTGTTTTATTAAACCGTTTCACCGTTCATTCATGAAAGTTATGAACGAGCAATTTAGGAAGCAACAATACCTCATGATTAACGATGACCATCCACCAAATCCAGCAGAAGTAAGGTATTCTGCTGTGGTATTATGTAGTCTCTCAGTCTTCCTAGACAAGAAAATCAGTTTCCACCCACCATCTTTAAGTATCAGGTACAGTTGTCGAAAAAATAGGTGCTTCAGATATTTCACATCTTCAATGCAATCACTACAAACATGCTCCTTGAATCTGGATAAGAAAGTATGTTAATTTGTTGTAGTTGGGAATACCAATCTGTTGGTCAACTCAAGGCAGGTACAAGAATATTGTTCTCTTAGGGTCTTCTGGGATTACAGTTAATCAGAGGTTTCAATTGTCAGATCACAAAGGCGAATGAAAGTAATAAAATGTACTAGTACTGATTCCAATCTATACTCTGGAGAACAAAAGATCTTCAAAGCAAAATAGATTCTTATGCAGAAAACTTTCAGCAGGTTAAATATACCGTGTCCGACTTGTAGAAAACATCAAAGCAAGTAAACACATTCTTGACAAGAAAATACATAGCTCTTTTAATCTAACTATCCCAAGCCCAGAGGAAATGTAATCTTTTAACACGCTTCTAGGTTAACATCCTACCGATTGTATTGTAGATAATTCCCAGTACAGTGCATCGCTAAGGTCATCTTAAGTTGATTTTTCAGTGTCAGTAAATCTGAAAGCTGGTTTCATAAAGTATTACGCAAAATTTGTAGTTCCAATTTACAAAAGCTAACTCAACTGAGATAATGTAGTGTTAATGATAATGCTGACTACGAGGATGAGCATAAGAAAAGACCATCATATCAATAATTAAAAACATTACCGATGTAGCACTTGGTAGGGATAGAAAGAATCTTCTGGCAAGAGGTCATCAATGTCCATTAACACGACGTCACAGCCATCAGGAAGTGGTTTGAGATTACTGAAGTATTGCTCTGCCAATCCAACTGTAATATTTAAGTCTTTCAGGTAGTGACCGTCTTTAATGTAACCAACAGCAAAGCTTTTGCACATTGCTGGGAAAGAAGCTGAAGGCAAAAGATTTAGTTCCGCATGCAGAACAAAAGTTTTGCAATAGTTATAATCATCGGTGGATTTCCAGATCTCAAGACTCTCAACAACACCAGCACTCTGAGTTTGACATGACCGCAACATTACAGCCAATGTAATCAATAGGGTCATTAGCGAAACACCAACTGTCACAAGTCCAGCAATGAGGACTGTGGCAGCAAAAGAAGTAATGTAAAGCCCCGTCTCCACAGTATAACGGCTTCCTACTTCTGCAACAAGTCACGAGTAAATGAGTATAATTTGGAGCTATTACTTCAACTTGTGAGAAAGAGATGACATGATTTGAGGCTCTCACTCCTACTCGGAAGATAAAGATGACAGTTTTGCGCTCATCAGGCCCTCAGTCGAACTTCAACTCCAACAGATCAAAAACAAGATGTTGATGAGCCAAAAGTATATGTACTTATTCATATACTTCTAAGTTAAAATTGCTATGTTTTCTGGTGTTTTGTGTGTATATCTCATGTTATTTTATCATATGTGTAGGTAATGAGAATTTATTTTTTCCATTCAAAGTAATATATATTACCTCAGTTCAACAGAGTATTACTCTCAATATATAGGAAATTTGGTCAGGATTCCTGAATCAATATCATATTTCTCAAAGTCTAGTTTCCAGTGATTCATCATTTGGACTCTCCTACGCAAAGTTATTGGCCATTCTACCAAGTTGTGCAGCGCAGCGTGCCACAACAAAACTAGCATGAGGCACTATGACATTATACTTTTCCATCGTGACACGCTAGGTCCCGAAGGGCATCAAATGAGCTTTTAAGGGCTATTTTGTCTTTTCAATGTTTTGGGAAATACTTTAGTACCTTGGGTATGAATCTTAATTTGCACTTGAAAAAGTAGGTTTAGGACTGCAATAAGATTGAATAGAGCAAGTTTATAAACCCTAGGAATTAGTCGTAGTTCATAAATTCTAAATTCTCGTGGAATGATATTCTACTCACTTTATATGACTTGTGCGACCTCTTATACTGATGTGTTCATTTGGGAGCCCACAAATGTGTGTGATGAAATTTTAGCATTCACTATAAGATTTGCTAGGACCCTAGAGCAGTATATTTATAGTCAATTGAAATTAGAAAAAGAAAGCAGGATGCACACCTGAACCTCCTCTGGTTGAAAGACTTTGAGCGGAAAATTCCCTCTCCATCATATGACCGTATGCAGACATGGCTTTATCGCTTTGACGGGGAAATGTTAGCTCAACTAATGTCCTTCTAAGTGGTTTACCAGTTTCCAATTGGAAGATAACATGGCCACCTGAAGAATGATGACACAACAAAATTGATCAAACCTGGATCTGAAAGTAGGAAGCTTCCGAGCTATAATTGTCAAGAAACTCCAACAATTTACAAGAAGCTTCCTTAAAATTTCATGCCCGATCACTCAAAAAAGACAAACAACTCAATTTACAAAAAGTTACTTGCATAATCATAATTTTGATCACTTTCATTCATTATTAGTAGCAACCCAAAAATAACAACCTACCCCATTTATTTGGATGTTCTCTTCTCTTAGGACACTACTCCAAATCTGAGTTTTACACTAAAAAGAAACAGTCAGAAAGCAAACGACTCTCAAAGTTTATAAGCTCTTATATAACAAGAATAACCCCAGCAATTAGATAACAATAATCAGGGTTACAATCCCGCCAATTAATTAGATTCTTTAAATGGGATCAATACGTCAGATGTTGTTGCCAAACAGGGTAGAAAAGCAATCCTCCAAAATTTAAGTTATTACCAAATGAATAATACCAATATCAGCAATTAGACAATCATTTTTCTGTTTCCATTCAATGGGACAGAGGATAAAAAACAACTTATCTACAAGTTTTATCGAGCTCATACTAAACAAGAATATGAATTGTCTTCAAAGAAGATACTTAATAAGAACCCCAATTCAGATTTTGGTGAACTGAACCCCATTATATATATTTATCAACTTAACAGCTGAAGAATTGAATCTAGTTTGTCAATTACCCGAAAGCCACGTTGAATTTTGCAGGAAATTGGAATGGACTGTGAGAGTGCCCCATCTGGATCATCTCGAATGTTTCTTAATCACCATTTTTAAATGATGCTGAGAAAGAGGGACTGTATAAAGGGCATTCAGAAAAATGCGCTTTGTCCTAAAGATGAAATGATTGAGATATTTTGTTTTGATTGATTTATATAGGTCCCATTGCAAAACTTTTATCATTTGAAACAAAGAAAAAATTGAAATAAATAAAGTGAGTGTAATATCTCAAATAATATTTTTTGCAAGATAAATATGGATAAAGATTCTTGAAATGTTCCATTCAAGATAAAGATATCATTAAAGAACTCCCTACGTTCTAATCCCAATGTTCTAATTTCATTTTTTCAAGATAATAATAACAATGAGAAAAATTAAAAAATAGCCAGATTTACCGGTGGTCATTCAGAAATAGTCACAATTTCAAACCACTTTTCATGTAAAGATAAATCGGAAAAAAATACTGTTCAAAATCCGAAAAAATACTCCAGTTTAATATACTAGAATTCCCTGGAGTTCCAGCATACTATGTTGGAAGTCCATACACAGGTGCACTGATCTCCAGTATATTATGTTGCAACTTTCCGTGTTGCAGCAAGATAGTGGTTGTTTTTCAATGACTTTGCAAACGCTCGCTATTTTTGAATGACCAGTCCGAAAACTGGCTGGCTCATGCTATTTTAACAATAACAACGCAGTTGTTAATAGAGCCGTCAAAATGGGCTTGGCCCGTGAGGCTAGCCCAACCCAGCCCGCTTCTTGGGTAGGGTTGGGCTAGGATATTTTAGCCTATTTAAAACTGAGGCTTATAAGCCTGACCCAAGTCAGTCCACTAGCCCGTGAGGCTTGATCGAGGCTGGGCTTGGGCCGACCCGTCGGCCAAAAATTAATTAACTATCAAATATTTAATATTTAAAAAATATGAACTATAATCACTATTCCTCAACCCTAGATTGCTCATTTACCTTCCATATCAATTAGAATTTATATTTTTGACATGCATGTAATATGACAAAATTAAATTTTATTTTTCTTAATTAATAATGAACACGAAAAGTTTTAGATGGCCAATAATAATATTTTTTCAAAAGAAAAATATTACTTTAAGTAGCCAATGATTAGTTTGGATTACTTTAATATATTATTAATATTTAAACTACTTTTCAATATCGAAAAAGATCAATGTTAAATACACACACAAAAAAAAAATTGACCACTAGCAAATTTCAGAAATTTTAAAAATTTCATAGACTATAATGATGATATCAGCAAATGATGTTAATCCTGAATTAAAAAAATCTCAGCATATAAACTTATTGAAGCAATCCTTGAATCTGAGGAATATGAAAGAAAAGTATTAAGAAAATATTCATGTAACTTTAAAAAAGAATACTTAGAGATATAGAGAATTTGCATTTCAATTATGAGATTCTTCTCAAATATCAAGCTTTTTTACGCTATACGCAAACAGAAGTTGTTTACATGATTAATCGATTATGTCACGAAAAAATATTTAAGGATTTAAAGAAATTTTTTTTCTAAAACAAATTGAAGGTCCGACCCGCCCTAGCCCGTGGCCCTCTTAGGGCTGGGTTGGGCTGACCATTTTAAGGCCCATTCATATGACAGGCCGGCCCATTCCTAACCCTTCAAATTTTAAAAGCCCACGAGGCTTGGACTAGGCTGGGCTGGGCTGACCTATTTTGACAGCTTTAGTTGTTAATGTGAATATTTCAAATTTTGATTTTGATAAAGAGAACATATTTTACGTCATTATTTGCTTTTAATTTTTGAAAGAATATATAAATTCGTATAGTAGAACAGCTATGGACGTACGAAGTACCTATGGAGTATACCTTCCGTTGATTATGGTGTATTTGACAGAAGGAGCTTTAATTTAGAAAATGAGTATTTCCGGTACCAACTAAAACAAAAAAAAAATGTTGGGGTCGAAATAATAAGGCATCATACAGAAGCTAACAATAAAAGTTATATGATGATAAATCAGACGATAAAGAGAATTATACTAAAAGAGACATTACACTTTAATATAGTTTAGTCATTGACGGGAGAAATTCAAAAATAACTAGATTTACAACGGGTCGTTCAAAAATAGCCCAATTTCAAAAGTAATCGAAATTTAGCCACTTTTCATGTAAAGATAAATCTGAGCGAAAACACTATTCAAAACCCGGAAAATACGCCAGTATGTTATACTGGAGTTCCAGCATAAGTATGCTTGAACTCCAGCATATTATACTGGAGTTCCAGGATAAGTATGCTGGAACTCCAGCATAATATGGTGGAGTTTCAGCATAAGTACACTAGAACTCCAGTATAATATACTGGAGTTCTAGCAAGTATAATTGTCCAGTATAATATACTGGAATAGCCCAGTTTCAAAAGTAATCGAAATTTAGTCACTTTTCATGTAAAGATAAATCTGAGCGAAAACACTGTTCAAAACCCGAAAAATACGTCAGTATATTATACTGGAGTTCCAGCATAAGTATGCTTGAACTCCAGCATATTATACTGGAGTTCCAGGATAAGTATGCTGGAACTCCAGCATAATATGGTGGAGTTTCAGCATAAGTACACTAGAACTCCAGTATAATATACTGGAGTTCTAGCAAGTATAATTGTCCAGTATAATATACTGGAATAGCCCAGTTTCAAAAGTAATCGAAATTTAGTCACTTTTCATGTAAAGATAAATCTGAGCGAAAACACTGTTCAAAACCCGAAAAATACGTCAGTATATTATACTGGAGTTCCAGCATAAGTATGCTTGAACTCCAGCATATTATACTGGAGTTCCAGGATAAGTATGCTGGAACTCCAGCATAATATGATGGAGTTTTAGCATAAGTACACTAGAACTCCAGCATAATATACTGGAGTTCTAGCAAGTATAATTGTCCAGCATAATATACTGGAGTTTGGAGCACCGGTGCTCCAGTCTCCATTATATTATACTGGAGTCAGCAAAGTATACCGGCTGGAGTTCATACATAGGTGCACCGAACTCCAGTATATTATGCTAGACCGGTCTCTGTTACAGCAAAATAGTGGCTATTTTTCATTGACTTCGAAAATGCTGGCTATTTTTGAATGCTCAGTCCGAAAACTGACTATACCGTGCTATTTTTACATCATTGACCTACATCAATCTACTAATATAAAAGAATAAATTCTTTCCCTAAACATAACTCTTTTTAAGAACTATATTGTGGATGCAATTGTGTTTTTGAAGGAGAGATCCTTAATTAATTTTAGAGTTCCGTAATATTTTTTCTACGAGAAAGAGATTTGTCAACTACAAAAGAGATTTATATTTTCCTTTTAGGAAAAGTAAAATCACTTACGGTAAATATTCTTCGATTCCTTTAAGTAAAATATAAATTCAAATATGATAAAAAAAATAAAGCAAATCTAACAAAAGGTAGATCTCACGACTCAATTTCATTATAGATTGTGATGGCGCCCAACACCATTGTCAGGCAAGCCAACACAAAAATAGTGATAAGTTCTAGGTTTACTTTACTAAAACAGTTGCAGCAATTTCTTAATTTGAATTTTAAACAAGTGATAGTTAGTAACGTACAAAAATAATTATACTACCCCAAAAGAATAATCTACCAATGTGTGTGCCAAGACCTAGTGTCACAAGTATGTGGGCATCTAGTAGAATATACAAAAAAATAAATCTATCCTACTGTCTGAAATAGAATAGACAGCCAAAAGTACAAAGAGACTCTATCATGTTGCTGAACGGCATAGGAAGGGAGCAGCTCACCGTGGAAGTCTCGGACTACGATCAAGAACGCGCACCAGACTGGTAGCCAGATGTACCTGCCTCAGATCCTATACAATTAAGTATATAAGCGTAGTTTGAGTACATAAACAATATGTACCTGTAGACATGTGATTTTTGACCCTCACCAAGATTTTTCACATCTTAGCACGTAAATATTTAATTTAGGCCTAATATAGCTATTTTAACTATTTTTGACTTCTTTACTTTATTTTCGTCATAAAAATAAAAATTACAAAAAATATTTTAGTTTACGTATCTTTCATAAATTTAAATATAAAAATATACAAAAAATAGTACCTTATCTTTATTTTTATATAATCTTGAAAACACAAAAATAGTTTTATGTTTTATAGTTTAGTTCAATTAATTATAATTAGTTTTATATTTTATATTATAATTTTACATAATTTTAGAAGGATGAATTAGTTTTAGGTTGGTTTATCCCATCTTTATAAATCATATAGTCCATTTTTTAGTCTTTGGCCCAATTCCCTAGCCCATAATTCCTAGGCCCATACCCCTAACCTAATCCCTACCCCTATGTATAGTATCTAACATCTAAAATAGACCTAGCCTACACAAAAAAGGGAAGCACGACAACATTCCCAAAAAAGGGAAAATAGCACCACCCTAGGAGAAGCAGCCAAAAAACCTTCCTCACCTGAAGAACGATAGCCTTTTCCCTCATTTTAGGACCAAAACACCTATAAACTACTTGCTGCTTCTGCTCAACTTCCCAATTTGTCAGTCACCGTTTCCACCCAACTGCTATAAAATCCTCGTCGGAGTCACTCCATTTTCCGCTCAGTTTTCAGTTTGCCGGTGAGAACGGAAAAGAGCCATAAAGCAGCATAAAAATCAGCTCTAAACCCCCTCTAATTTCCCATCTGAAACATGCGCTACCTAGCATTAAAACCCAGCTTAAAATCATTCCCAAAACACCATGACACTCACAAGCTTCGGTTGAGTTCGAGGTCGCATTTCGTTAGCTCCTTTTCGAGTTTCGTCCCGGTTTCGATTGCTACTTATCCAACTATAAAGCTTTCTTTGAAGATTCTTGTTAAATTGAAAAGTGTCATCTTAAAGGTCCATATCTAAACTCTCATTTCTTCTTATTCAGGGAACTTGCATGTTTGTATGATTTTTTGTTTGTTAAAGTTTTGATGGTGTGGTGACGTTATGATTCATGCTTATAATCGTTGAGGTTCAATGTTCTATCGTAAATGTTATGAGATCTGGCTGCTCAACTTTGCCTTATTTAGGCCATGTATTGTAGCGTAATTTAATTTTTGTCCATGTTGCCTACATGGTGTT